CTAATCACTGGTGGTGGCGGTGATATGGTTGGTATTTGACGGTGCGTTAAGACTGTGTGCAGTGGTGGTGGGGGCAGGAGCTGCCGCAGCATGTGTTGATGCAGTGGGGATCAGGATTGCGGTTAGGATTGATTGTCGACGTGGGGGGCGAGGCAGAGGTGGACAGGAAGACATCAGCTGGTGTCGTCCGAGTGCTGCAGTTGGTTTGAAGATGTCGAATAAGATTGATTGGTGCCCGGAACGTCCACTGACACTGTGGGCACGTTGGGGGCGGTTGAGCGTTGGTGTTGCGAGATGGGGGCAGTTGAGATTTGCGAGGTTCGTGCTCGCCTTTGGCAGCGGTTGTGTGGTTGGCTTCGTATATGGCCACATCCGTATTCAATGTCTTCCTCCAGGCTGGTCTTCTTGGACGAGTTCTTCCAAGATTGCCGGGTTGATTTGCAGACGCTTCAAGGAAGTCCTCATACTGTCATTGTAGCGTCGGACTTGACCTCCTTGTCAACGGGAACCCGCGGCTACATGTCCATTGAAAAGTATTTTAGGTAGCTGCTCGTCGTCCACCCGCACGGGGTGGCCGCTCCTGCGCAGGTGCAGTTGTCTCAGCATGGCGTGGATTCTGAAGATTCCTGTCGGTTCCAGTACTTCCGTGTCCGGAACCCGGTGATGCCACCTCGGCTTTAGTGTCCGCCGAAAGTAGGTGAGGTGGAAGCGGTTGAGCTCCCGCGCCTGCTTCTTGTACACCGTTCAAGTCTCCGCTCCATGCAGCAGTGTCGGCAGGATGATCGCTTTGCACATCTTGAGTTTGGCTCTGAGGTGAAGACAGTGTCGATTCCAGACGGTGTTTTGCAGACGATCGAAGGCTTGGCTGGCTTCGGAGATCTGGCGGGCCACCTCGTCGTCGACTTTGGTGCTGTGAGAAAGTGTGTTGCCCAGATACGTGAAGTTGCCCAGGGCTTGCAGTTGGGCACCGTTCACGTCGATGTGAGGTGAACTGTAGACGGCGTCGGGCGGCGCTTCTTGCATGGCCTCCGTTTTCACCGTGTTGGTGAGCAAGCCAAAGTTATCGCAGGAGGCGTCGAAAAGGTACAAGCTCCTTTGCATGTCCCTTCGGTAGTTTCATTGATAGCACGGCCATAGGCAAAGAGAAGTCCGTGGACGGTATATGTGGATACACGCGGCTGAAAGAGCATCCGTCGCTGATTAAGGAGTTGGCCGTCCATCCTGTAGACGGAGCGGATCCCAGGAAGCTCATCACAGGCGGCGTCCATCAGCATGGCAGAGAAAATGAGACTGAAATGGGTAGGAGCGAGAACGCAGTCCTGCTTCACATAGATGGCCACTGTAAATGCCTCTGAGACGGCTGCATTGTCCTGACGCGCACCATCGTGCCATCGTGGAGCTGACGCATCATTTGAGTGAATCGTTCGAGACAGCCGAAGTTCTGCATGATTTTTCACAGTTCTTCACGATTCACCGTAGCGAAGGCTTTCGTCAGATCCACGAAGGTGGAGTACAGGTGGGTCCGCATCTCTTGACACTTCTTCTGTAGTTGGCGCGCGGCGAAGGTCATGTCTATGGTCGCACGATGACGGTGGAATCCGCACTGGCTTTCCGGCAGGAGTCAATGTCCCAGAAGGCGAGAAGGCGAGCAAAGATTTTCCGGCAATTTTGAGCAACGTGATGCCTCCGTGGTTGTCCCAGATCTGGCGATTCACCTTCCGCTTGTAGAGATAAACGATTTTGGCGTCCTTGAAATCATTAGGCAATGGTCCTTGAAGAAAGTTGTCAGGTAATCCATAAGTTGGTAGCCGTCGTGCTTGTAAATCTCAGCAGGGAGCGCGTCTACTCCGGCGCTTTCCCGCTTGAGAGTTGCTGCACGGCCCTGAGAGAGGGGGGATGGGGAAATGGAGGTCGGCGTTGGTCTCCACTTGAGGCAGACGGGTGATGGTGGCGTCGGAGATGGTGGAGGGACGGTTGAAAATCCCTTGGAAGTGCTTGGCCCATCGCTGTAGAATTTGTGTCTTCATGGTGAGTAGGGTACTGCCGTCAGCTCTGAGAAGAGGAACAGTTGCTTTGGCTGTGGGACCGTTGACAGCCTTGATCGAGGCGAAGAGGTTCTTTCATTCGTTGCGGTCCGCGTAACCTTGGATCTCCTCGGTCTTGCGAGTCGTCCAGGCCTCCTGAATCTTCCGCAGCCGCTGTTGCACAAGGAGTTTGTTACTATAGGGAGCTGCTTTGTTGTCGTAGGTAGGGCAGTTAACATGGGCTTTGTGAAGCCAGTGAGCAGGTTGCTGATGGCAACATGCGCCACCGAGGACAGCCTGGACGGTTTACTGAACCATGTCACTCAGTTAACGTCATCGGTTCTCCACGGAGACGTCATCGTCGTCGTGGACGACAGCGGAGACGACTAGAAGGTTACCTAACCGCTGAGCCAGCTCGCAGTTGAAATGGAGATGGTGTGCAGACAGCGGCAACAAAACAATATTCAAGTCATCTGGGGATCGCTTACCTTGAGGTCTACTGTGTGGCTGTAGGCGGATTCGCATCTTGAAGATGGCAAAGCAATGGTCAGTCGACTCGTCGATACACGGAATCGCCTTTGTCACCAGCACTTCCCGTCGGTCACGCCTCCGGACGAGAACATAGTCCGGCAGGTGCCAGTGTCGCACCCGAGGGTGCATCCAGGTCGCCTCCTCACGCTTCCAGAAGCAAAAAAAGATTCTGTGCATGCTATTAGGAGAAGCAGACCACTGTCATTGGAGCCGCCGAGACCATGGGGACCCAGCACAGTCTGTGCCGATGCGGGCGTTAATGTTACTGAGAACAATCAACTTATCCGACTTCGGCACGATCGCCAGGATGGCGTGCGGGTCCTTTTTGAATTTGTTCTTTGCCTCGTCAGAGCTGGTCATTGGGAACGTAGACGCTGATGACGGTGACAAATTCGCTTTTGCGGCAGACAAGGCAGCCACCCCATGATGTCGTTCCGGTCGACAAAGGCGATGCCCGCGCCCCATCGCTCTGCTCTATGGTGACCGCATCAGAAGAAGGTGTAGCTGGCACACACCTCCTCCATTTTGCTAAATTCGGAGAAACAGGTCTCGCTGAGTGCAGCGATATCCACTTTAAAGCGAGCCAATTCCCGAGCGATTAACGCCGCCCTTTGTTCCGGCCGGTTGCTCCTGGAATTAGCTAAAAAGAACGAACATTCCAAGCTGCCAGACTGTGAGAACTCACCCTAGCAGCCTGCGAGTGAGACGGAGGGGGCAAGGAGGAGAAGGAGGAGGAGGAGGAGGAGGAGGAGGAGGAGGAGGAGGAGGAAGAGAGAGAAAGATAGTATTATCTCTTGTTTATTGGTTTCAACTGTGTCTTGCATCTGCGAGCCACGGTCTGCGTGCAGAGGACACGATCCCCGCATTTGTTTAGAACGCCTTCTTTAACCCCCTCCCCCTCGCGGGGGTAGACAGTGCGCTCCCTTGATAGGGCTGCTTAGACATCCCAGACGGCCGTCGGTCTCCACTATGGGTCACGACTTTGTTTAGTGGGAGGACTACCCGAGTTAGTCTGGACCTCCTACGGGATTTCATAACGTCCTCTCTATAAGACTTTTGAAGTGGGTGGAAGGCGGCGGGATGAGGAAGGGTAGAAAGAGGGGGGGCAGAGTCTGGTCTAACTGACTGTTGAAATATAGACAGTGGGTGGAAAAAGTCAACAGAGCAGTATGCGGCAGAACGACATTTAGCTCGTGGCTATCTGTGGGATTGCAGACAGAGGAATTTTCATCTGCAGATGGGAAGTCTTTTGGCCGCTGGGTTAGTTGATTGCTGTAATGCAAACGGTCAGCGGGCAAACACTTGTGGCCTCCGGCAGGGTTGCAAACGGAGCCTTGTCGCGGAGATGACGAGACAGTGATCCGTACGGCCAGCGGCGATGGGAGGGGAGCAGAGTTACTGTGTGTGGAGAGGCGCACACGGATACCCTCACCGGATTTAGCCCGCCGGTCGAGGTAGTTACCGAGGTGTGGCCGCCAGACAGAGCCTAGCTTCGAGAAGCCACAGATGAGAGTTGAGTGCCAGTTAATGGAGGCTAGGCTTAGTTAACACCTGCAAGCAAGTGAGTTACCTACTACAATCACCACGTGGACTCACTACTGGGCATTCCTTCAGGCTTTTGCTCTAGAACAGCGCATCATCCAGCACGGCTATATTCAGTTAGATCTGGATGTTTTGATGGACCTATGGAAAGACATAATGCTTCAAGACTTAATTCATGGACTTCTTAGGCCCTATCTAGAATCCCTTCTCCGAAAAACAGGCGACATTAAGAGGTCACGAGGCTGAACACCATCAGCTAGGAAAGACGAATTACTTTGATGAAGTTCCTGCAACTATCATAAACCTCTTCTACCATGAAGTTGCTACGGTAGTCGCCCGGTCCTGCGGTTACGGACCCTATCCGCGTTGAAATAGTTTTTCATTCATGAGCATGATACTTGGCGTCTCTTACTTTAACTTCGTGTATGCATGTTTGTTTCTTTCTAGCCTGCGGTCCCGGAAAAGAGTGGTACGTAGAAGCCTTTTTACTTCAAGCTAGAGACCAGGCCCAATCATTTTTCTGATGATGTCGTCATTCTGTACAGTACGTGACCTATCTCATGAAATCTGATAACGGAAACTGATGAGAGAATTTCTGGACGCCTTTAACGTTGAGCACTTTGTTTGCTCACCCACTTCATTCAATAAAATGTCCTCTTCTCGTGCTGACATTGTGTTTACGTATTTATATCAAGTAAAATATTAGTAAATTTTAGCGGAAATGGACGTTGGAATATATTCGTGCAATTTCCTATGCTAGTACATGTACTAGATCCCGGCTACGCATCTGGGCGACTTTTTTTATTGAAAGGACAGTAATTTATCCGCGAGAGTTTTAATAAACCGATTTAGCCGGACTGGAAATTTTATTTTATGTCCGATGTAAATCATGGTGATTAACCTGCTAAAAAAGGTTGTTTAAAGAAAGCCAGGGGTTTCGTCAATTTCTATATGTCAAATTTAGATGTAAACTTCACTAAAACACTGTTATTAAACGTTATTTTATGTCTACTTTCATATTTGCTACGTTTTTGCTATGACAATACATTCTTTATAGCTAAAAACGAAGTTTACTAAATTGGAGCCATTTCTGACGTTTTCGTGATATTGCGCTTTTCTAAAAAAATCGGCATTTCTAAACAACGCGACACTGTCTTTTAATATTTCTCTACTGTTTTTAATTGTTTTAAACTTGCATTTAATTAACATAGACACTGGACTCATGAAATTTTGTCGGTTTGCGAGTGATTGGCAATCATTCGTAAATTTCGACACATTTCATGAGTTAGGTCACTAACTGTATGATTCTGAGATACTTTACCATCGGCCTGGCCGTCATGTTGACTATGAGCTCCTCGGTTGCCATTTTTGCGAACTTTCGCACAAGATATTCTCCCGTTGCTTAAAAATCGTCCAATTTGACGGTTTCAATTTTGACATCGACTCTTAGGTCGCAGAAGGTAGTAGTTGATTTCCATAGCTTTGCATTCTGCGCTTAGACTAATTACCTTCTGAACACAAAGGTTTCATCTGCTCTAAGAGCATCTGGCATCGCTGTACCCGTTAATAAAATTTGGGCGATAGACCACTTTATTTTCACAGTTAACTGTGAAGACCTAGATCGTCATGTAGATAAGTTGGGGAATAACTGGGCCTTCTTATAGCAGTACTCCGACATCGTTCGACCGCTCAGTTTACCAGGACAGGTGTTTCCGTAAACCTGCATCAACTGAGACAGTACACTTGTCGCGGCAGCTTAAGTCATAGGAAGGGCCTAATTACTACGATCTTCAGGTCCAGTCCTGAGTAGAAAGGGTACTTGGACGCCGGTGAGACAGCTCTGTATTCTACACAGAATGGATGGAGGATAAGCTGGAACAAGTTGGCGGCCGGACGAGAAGCACGCATCCGGTGCCGCCGGAGAAGGCCTTCGGGTACCACTAGGGCAGACGTCAGAGCGCCCTGAGTGAGGGTATGTCTGAGTCGGTCTCGAAGCCGAGTGGC